GAGGACCCGACGGTTACATTGGGGCGGCTCGAGTACCTCTCGTCCGTCCAGCGCAAGTGGGACGATTTGGACACGGCGTTGGCCGCCATCTAGGAGATCGCCACCGTCTCCCTCGAGCGGCAGCTCTTGACCTGCCAGGAGCAGCTGACGGCGAGGAGGCAACCTGTTTCGGGGCGATGCGCACTCAAGATGTTATTCAAGCAGTTCCGCGTCGAGTCCGGCCAGATGTCGAGCATCGACGTCACCACCTTCGTGAACTTGAAGTTCCACGGCGACTTGGAAGCGTACTTGGACTTGCTGGACTACACCCTGATGGGTTCACGCGGCAGCCCGACGAGGAGCTCATCATGGCGATCGTCGAGCCGCAGCTTCGACTACAACGTGGCCTCGCGCCGACTTTCGTAAGCTACGACGGTGCCGAGGACGGCTCTGAGGCGCGCGCTCTCTCTTGGCTGTGCAAGCGCGCGGCGCGAGGTGGCCAGGAAGAAATGCGCGGCGACCTCCAAGCAGCTCCAGGATGCGGTTCCCCAGAAGATTGCCGCTCCAGGAGCCGGCAAGGGGGGCAAGGGCGATTCTCGTAAGGGCAAGGATAAGGACAAACATTTTGGACAGACAGACGTGGGCCTGCATCCTCTTCCGGACCAACGGCTCTTGCCGGTTTGGGGATAGGTGCGAATGGTCGCACAACTCCAGTGCGCCGATGCCGCCGCCTGGAGCTGCCGAGAAAGCCAGGGCCGAGGCCGCCGCCGTCTTGACGAATGCCGCTGCGGAGGCTAAGGCCAAGGCTACCGCCAAGGCGGCCGAGGCCAAGCGCAAAGCCTCCGAGAAGAGGAAGGCAGCAGAGAATAGGAAAACCTCCGCGGCCCCAGGCAGGCCCGACGCGGCCCAGGACCAGCCCCTCTGCGCCGCCTTCCGGAACTCCGGCAAGTGCGACAAGGGCGACAAGTGCGAGTTCAGGCACCTGCCCAAGGCCGCTGCCAAGGCAGCTCCAGCCAGAGTGGCTCGTCACGCCCGTGAGGCCGCTGGCGCTACGGGAGTTGCCATGCCGAGCGCCATCGATAACGACGCTGATTGGGCCGTGGCCGACACGGGCGTGGGCGACGATTTACTCGACGCCCAGACCGCGATGCAGTTCGGTGACGCTCACCAGAGGTCTGATCTCCACCAGCTCGCCACGGCGAACGGGACCACCGCGCCTGACACCACCGCGGTGGTCAGCCTGGAGCGGCTCGGCGAGGACACTGAGGCCGTCGTCCTGCCGGGCACCATCAACGCGCTGTCCATTGGCAGGCGCTGCGCCGAGTACGGGTACACGTTCACCTGGAACCCGTTCGAGGACAAGCCCGAGTGGCTCGCCCCAGATGGACTCCCCTCGACGTAAGGGTTGACCACTACGTGCCCATGGTACGTCCAGGGCTCGCACGCCCCGAGGGAGAGCGACGCCAAGTTGCCTGCATGCCGGCTGTTGGGTCTTCGGATCAGAACACCGCTTGAGCAGCTGATGCCGACCAAGCCCCCGAGGATGCTGAACAAGACCCCGAGGTGGTGGCCCCCGAGGCGGCGGCGGTGGCCCCCGATGCCGCAGGCTTGGACAACGACATCTACATCGCCGGCGACCCGTCCATCGTGGAGCACGTGCCCGAGCACGAGTGCATCGGACCCAGCGGTGATACTCGCGCTTGCATTCGCGACCTGGAGGGCGGTCTGACTGCTCACGACCAGCAGGTCGACCCCGACGAGATCCCTCAAGTGCGGCGAGTGCCTGCCCAACGACGCCATGGACGCCACCTTCCACAACGACCCGCTGTCGCGAGCTCACCTTGCAGCTCATCTTCCACGCTGCCCGCCGGGGGCGTGCCCCGGGTGCGACATTTGCAAGATTGCAAAGAGCCGCAGCGGGAGGAGACCAGCACTGGCCATAGAGCTGCACGCGACGCCCGAGGAGCAGGGGAAGTCCGGCGCCCTTGCACATATGGATCACATCGAGATGGAGCGCGGCAGCGACGCCCGCAAGGCCGCGCCCTACGCTCTCAACACCGCCGACGAGGGCACGGGCTCCTTTTCGAGCTACCCGGCGGCCCGCCGCGACACCAGCACCGCGCTGGACAGCGTCAGGCGCGTCGACGGCACGCCCGAGAGGATCACGCGCTGGTGGAGCGACCGCGCTCCCGAGTTTCGCGCGGCAGCCAGCGCACTCCGGCGCACTACCTGTCGACGCCATACCGGCCGCAGGCCAATGGCAAGGCGGAGCGCATGAACCACCTCAGCGTCGAGGGCACGTGCGCGTTGTTCCACCAGTCCGGCTTCTCCGAGAGCTGGTTGCCGCTCGCGATTCGAGCGTGGGCTTCCGCTTACAACGCTACGCACGTCGGGAAGGACGGCCTCACGCCTTGGCAGCGCAGGCTCGGGGAACGAACGCCTTACACCGTGTTCCCCTTCGGCGGCCTGGTGACCCACCGCCCGCCAGCCGGCTCCAATGCCAGGAAGGCGGAGCTGAAGTACCTGGGCTCGACCAAATGGAAGAGCAGGCGAAGTACCTGGGCTCGACCAAATGGAAGAGCAGGCTCGTCCCCGCCGCATTCGTGGGAGTCGCCGCTGGCCCCGGCCAGACTTGGGCAAAGTCGTGCCTCGTGGTGGCCCTGGCAGCGATCATGGACGACGGCCGCGCTTCGCGCGTCAGCGTGCGCACGGTGACCGACGTGGTCTTCCCCGACCAGCCCGCGTTCCCGCTCAGGCAGCGCTTGATGGCCCAAGGCGCTTTCGAGGGCCTCAACCTCCCGGCGCCAATCGCCTCCGACGACATCAGAGCCCCTGGTGAGCTCATCATCGCGGAGGACGGCTGCGAGGACGACGCCGAGCGGCACGACCTCATTTTCGACGGCGACTTATCCGAGAATGCCCCGCACTTTTTGCGGAGGAAGCGTGTGATGGACATCGTGATGGCTCTCGACCCGGACTCTCCGACCGAGTCGGTCTGGCCAGTGTAGGAGCTAGCCGACGAGCCAGCCTCCGAGGCCTCTGCTCCGCCGCCTCGCGGAAGCGGACGCCGGCCACTGCCGCCCATGGACGCTCCGCTAAGCATCAAGGCAACCTCGCAGTGGAACAACCGGGTGCTCGGCGTCGCGCGCCCTGACGCAAGTGGCCTTCGTGCTGGCGCAATCCGCACGCAGGTCGCAGCTTCGCCCAACGTGGGCTTGGACCCGCAGGAGCTCGTCGTGAACCGCCTGAGCCGGCACGCCCGGGCCCCCATGAAGATCAGCTAATTACGTCTTTCGGCCGGGCTCCCAGTGTCTGGTCGAGTTGAAGGCCGGCATTGCCTCCCCGTCTCCGGCCGACGACCCCAGGGAATACTATTGGGAGCGCGAGGGTGCTTTGTGGCACCCGATCCACGTGGCCCCGCGCGTGGCCATGTTCACCCCGATCGACGATGATGGAACTCCCGATGCAGACGACCTCGGAGGATGGCGATTGACGAAGGTGGACTACCACAGCGGCCAGTCCGACCTCATAGAAGACGATTGGCTTCGGGATCCGAGCCCGCATCGCCCACCCCATGCCCGATGGGCTGGGAGGACTACTTTCGGCCCCAAGGACCAGGAGAAGATCGGCGCGGAGGGGGGGAACTTCCTCGGATCTCTGGCACCTCCCCCAGCGCCCGTGGATGCAGACCTGGCTGAGCTTGCTCAGCCGGCGCCTGTCGCCGCCATAGACACCGAGGTGGTCCTTGGACAAGATGGCGCTCCCCCGACGGGCCGGAGGCGAGACGACTTCGGCGCGGACGGCGTCATCCGCAGATCTGTTTGGACGCCGCCATGGTCCACCCGTCCGCCGGAGCACAAGTCCAAGAAGGCCAAGCCCGCAGGTCCTGCGCCCCGCGTGCTCTGCAGCTGCACTGGCATGGTCGTTGGCGACCTCGAGTCTGCCTACGTTGGCCCCCCTAGCGCCAGGCCGCCCATGCCCGCTCGCCGCTCCGTCGAGGCTGCCATTCCTCCGCAAGGACCCGTGGCGCCTCCTGGCCCCAACGACGCCGGCAGGGTGCTCGCCCCGAAGTCCAAGGACGAGCTGTGCCAGCAGGCCTTTCCTGCGATCTTGAGTTTCGACTTCGATGAGCTTTTCGTCGAGCTGTGCTGCGCGGAGAACTCCAAGCTCTCGGAGCACGCCCCGACGCGCACCCTGGCGATCCGAGTGGCCACCGACCTCGACTTCACGGACACCGCCGCCCTCAAGCACCTGAAGCATTTGGCCAGGTCAGCACACAAGCACTAGATACGGGTTGTGGTCTGGAGCGCTATCCCGCGCACGGCGGGCTGCCCGCGGGAGCACGTCAACGAGTCCAAGGGCATCAAGACTAGCAACCCCGAGCTCACCGAGAAGTTGATCTCGCACGGAGTGGCGCTTCGCAGGTACGACTGCAACCTGGGCCAGCATTTTGTTTGGGAGTGGCCGACTACCTCGGACCTGTGGGCGCACCCTGAGGCCCAGACGCTGTGCCATGGAGCTGACCAGGGTTGCGGCCTCACTGCGGTTGCCACCTCGGCCGTCGGCCGCAGCCACACCATCAGCGGAAAGGTGGCGTGGACCCGAAAGAAGTGGTGCATCTACGCCACCGACGCGCACGTCCGCACGGCGTTCAGCGCGTTTGCCTCCGACCCGCACGAGGACCAGGAGGAGTTCGTGTGGTGCTTGGGCAAGTTTGCCAAGGAGTCCGCCTTCTACACCGACGCGTTTGCGCGGATCTTCTGGCTCGCCCGAGGCGCGGTTGCCCTGGGGCCGTTTATACCAACCACCGCGTCCACGACGCCTCGGCTCCACCTTCGAAGCCGCTCTGGCGCGCCATGGTCACGCGGATCGTTAAGCCCAAGAGTGCCAAGGCCGATTGCGACGCAGGTCGCGCCGCCATCGCCAAGGAGAGGTCCAGCATGCAGGACAAAGGCGTGCGTAATGAGAACAATGCGCACTCCCTGAGGGACCTCCTCCGCGACCCGAAGTAGGCGGGGACCATGTTCGGCCGGGCCTTCACGATCTTGGGGACCAAGGGCGAAGAGCTCGACAAGGAGCGTCAACGATGGAAGGCTCGCGCGGTCTTCCAGGGGTCCAGCGTCCGCACCAAGACCGGGACCTCGGCCGCGGAATTATCCGAGGAGGCGGCCAACGCTCCTGCCTCCTTTGCGGCGGCTCGCGCGGCGATTGCTGCTGGAGTCTTCAAAGGCTTCGACAACAAGCTGCGCGATGCCGAGTCGGCCGGGTGCCGACCTTCGTCGAGTTGCCAGAGGCGCGGCGGCCGGGCTCCTGGCACTTCGACGGCAGCGCCCGCAAGAAGCCGAGGTACACCAGGCCGCATTACAAGCTCATCAAGGCCCTCTACGGCCACCCTGAGGCCGGCGCGCTATGGGAGGCGAAGCTCGACTCCATTGTGCGCCAGCTTGGATGGGCACCAGTCGGAAAGGAGTTTCCTGGCATGTACATCCACAGCGGCGTTCCTGAGGCATCTGGCTCTACTTCTTCTGCGCGCTCTGTGACTGGAGCCGCCCTCACTGTCTACGTGGACGACCTCCTGATGGTTTTCCTTTTTCCAGGGGCCACCGGGCGACTTTGAGGGGAGCTGGAGAAGCGCGTGTCGTTCAAGGAGCCGGAGGCGGATCTTGACAGGTACCTGGGGGGGCATTACAACATCCCCCACCGTCAAGAAGTTCGCGGAAGACATGGCCAGGACCGCGCCCCAGATGCGCCTGGGAAGGGTGGCCAGCCCCTCCGTGTCGCCCGAGCAGTGGGCGGACCCTGGTGCTATGCCGGGAGCCTTTGCGACGACCGCCGCATGCTATGTCGCTAGCGTGTTGTTCCTCAGCCGGGCGGCGCGACCTGACATCTCGGTCGCGGTGCAGCGGTTGTGCCCGCATGTGGCCAAGTGGTCTACCACCCGCGACGTGGCGCTCGCGAGGCTGTACAGCTACTTGCACAGCACCGGCAACGTCGCCCCCGTCGCGCTCTCGAGCCCAGACGACTTCGAGGAGCTCCAGCTCAGGGCCTGGTCCGACGCAGATTGGGCCGGCGACGCGGAGACGACGCGCCCCACCAGCGGTCTTTTCCTCGAGCTCTTCGCGCCGACTTCCGAGCATTACTGGCCCCTGAGCTGGGCCAACCAGAAACAGACGGCGACGTCTTCGGCGACCGCGGAGGCCGAGGCGCCCACGATGTCTAAGAACGCACGCATGGACGCGCTCCCCATGGCCGACATGCTGGCCAAGATGGGCGTGAAGACGAACATCGTCGTGCTGGTGGCCTACGCGCAGGCCACTGCGGCCGTGGAGCGCGGACACTTCAAGAAGCCCCGGCACTTGGGGCGCGCTCAGAAGTGCTCGATCTCCGTCGCCCACGAGGTCTGGAAGGACGGCGAGATCGAGGTCGAGCACCATCCGATGGCGACCCACAAGGGCGACGGGTTCACTGAGGCGCTGTTGCCAGCCAAGTTCATTGAAGCCCGCGGGCTCATGAACATCAGGGTCGGCCCCTGCACCATCGAAAGCCTGGTAAAGTGACCCGTGTCCTCACTGAGGCGGACAGACCAATGCAATTCCATAGTGTTTGTATTAACTATCCCGCGTGTTTGCAACTTGAACCTGCGAAAACCGATTACAAAATACACGTGGATCAAGAGTTTATTAGCCGGGACATGCCCCGCAAGCACAGAACGCGGCCCAGTGAGCAGTGCACCAGTTCGTGTCGAGCGCGCGCTGGATTTTTCTTGAAATGCCACGCTGATGCCGTTGGTGCTTAGCGAGGGGTGTGTGCAAAACAGGTAGTGGATGCCCTTTTTCCGCCGCCAGGGAACTTCTATGTATAACGCTAGCGCACCAGCCGCTACTTTTGCTTGAAGGCAAGCGCTTAAGCGGACAGGAATCGTTTCTTCCCAATGCGTCTGGTCTGCGTCGTTGCTTCTGGCGCATCAATGTGCAGCTTCAGCGCGTGAGTGAGTACATTAGCTCTCTTTCAAAACGGGCTGGCTTCCCCAAATCTAAATTGCTTGCTCGGCCTTCCGTTTCAATACCACTGGGAGCCTGGTGGCAACGCCGCCTCCCAGAATTCGGGTTGCGATGTATTCGAGCCCTTTGGCTCAAGATTCGAGATGCGGAGCCCGGACAAAAAAGAACTCTGCCACCCCCCGCGTGGTTAAGCGACGGAGCGAGTCTCAGCGGCGACGCCGACTCCTCCGTCGCCTGGCCACGTCGGCGGACACTTTCCTCCGGCTGCGCCTCGGACTGCCGCAAAACCCTGACGTACAACATAGCCTTCCCTTCAGCCCTGCCAAGATCCAGAGGTTCCTCACGCTACTGGCCTCCAGGGTCCCCTTGCGGGCCACTGTATACAAACATGGCTAGCAGCTCTCATGTGCCATTACCTCCACCAGCTCAGCCGCAACCACAGAGCGAGATCCAGCCCATGACCACACAGGCGATACCCAGTAGACCCGGTCAGGCTGCTAACAGGCGCCTTGCTGAGCTTGGCAGCGATCTGCGGGTGCCCAGCGAGGAGCCCCTGGCCGTCGCCGTCCAGGTCAGCGACCCCGCCATCGGGGTTGACGACCTCGGCCCACTGCTTCGACTTGTTGGCCGCCTCCTGCTTGGCAGTCTGCTGCTGCGCGGCGGCGATGGCCAGGTTGGCCTCCGCTTGCTCCAGCTGCTGTTTGGGCTGGCCCCCCTTTCGACTGGCACTCGTTCTTCTATGATGTGGCTCGCTGCATGGCACGCTTGGCGAGGCCAACGTCGTGGGCACGTGCTGGGCCTGCACCCGCTGGCTCGCCAGGCGCAGCGGGTTGTCGTTCAGCAGCTTTATACTGGGCTCGAAATGCAGCCATTTGCTGTGGCCCGAGAAGGCGCTGGAGCGCCCGTATGATCTAGTGGAGTCGGGGGTCGGGCTGCTCGTAGCCACCGTCCTGGTCACCATGATGATCGCCAGCGAGGAGGCGATTGCCGCACCGACATAGCGGGCCCTTCCTGGCCCGCGAAAGCCATCTTCACTTGCTGCAAACTCTGCACGCCACATACTCCTTGTTGGCGGCATCGCGGCCACCGTCATCCTGTCGCCCTCCGCGCCAGCCTCCCCAGGCTCTATTGCGACGCTGGCTACGCCAGTACGCGATGAGACTGCCGCGGTGCACTGGTGGGGGCGACTGGCAGGCGAATGCCAGGCAAGCAGAGTGCCCCTCCCTGCTGGCCGCGCTTGAGTCAAAGTGGCTACGGTTCCTTCTCCTGCGCCCTCTTCTCCTCGACTCCTCCTCCTCCTCCTCCTCCTCCTCCTCCTCCTCCTCCTCCTCCTGCTCCTCCCCCTCCCTTCTCCTCCTGCTCCTCCTCCTCCTCCTCCTGCTTCTCCTCCTCATGCGTCTTCTCCCCTCCTCCAGGCAGGCGCCGGCACGGGCGCGCTGGGCGCGACCGGACGAGCGGGCCGGCCCGATCGGTGCGCGCGGTAATGAATTTTCTATGCAAAAAAGCGAGAGCCTGAGAGAGAGAGAGAGAGGCCCTGAGATTTTGGCGTCTAATTGTTTTGAGCCTGGCATTGTTGCCACGTTTCGGGCCCCGAGACAATCACAGACCGATGCGTTTCGGAAAATGGCGCAGAGAGATGGGGTCGAGGGCTCCGGCCGTGATTAGCTACCATATTTCATTTAGTTCGCGACGTCGGATCTCAGGGGAGAACTTGGAGAAGTTCACGTTGCATCTTTGGCTGGCCTCGTGTGTCTTGCAGATGGCTGTGCCCCCTGTATCCGACGTGGCTTCGATGCGGATTCGACGCGGACTCGGCGTGGATCCGACGTGGAGTCGACGCAGGTTCGACGTAAGGCAGATTTGTTTGTTCCATCACAGTGTTCTTCCTGCATTTAGGCCTGTCGGCCATACTCGGGCCCTGAGGTGATGAAGAACATATCTTGGGCGAACAGCTGTCTCTCGGGGAGAGGCCGAGGCGTCGTGCCACGACGAATTGCAATACATAACACCCATCGCATGTCTGGGGACGAGGCGAGAGAGGAGAATGACCGAGGTCAGTTTGCTGTGAAGGAAACTGCTATTGTAGCGTTTTCCCCCCAACCATCCTGTTGTGTTGGGTCCTCGTTTTGAATGGACAGCGCCCCGCGTTCATTCCCTCCTTCCTCCTCCTTCTCCTCTCCTCCTCCCCCTCCCTCCTCCCGTCACCCCTTTCATTTTGGCGCACGCCTCACACGTTTCGTAGCCACATAAGGGGACCCGACCGAAGGCCCCAATGGTGGTGCTCACATGCCTCCCCGCCACCCGTTTTGGCACACCCCTCATACGTTTCGTGGCCCCATAGGGGGCTCCACCGACGGCCCCAGCGGCGATGCCCACATGCGTCCCCGCCACCCGTTTCGTCGCACCCCTCACACGCTTCGTGGCCCCATAGGGAGCTCTACCGACGGCCCCACTGGCGGTGCCCACATGCGCCCCCGCCACCCATTTCGACACATTTCGTGGCCCCATCGGGAGCTGCAGTGAAAGCCACAGTGGCGGTGCCCACATGCGTCCCCGCCAACGATTTCGGCACAGCCTTCACACGCTTCGTGGCTCCAACGAAGGCCCCAATGGCGGTGCCCACATGCGTCGCTCCTTCGCCGCTCTTCCCTCCCTCCCCGCACGGGGTCGACGGACACCTGGTCCTCCCCCGCCGCGCCTGCTCATCCCTGTCAGTCCTCTGGCTGTGCCCTCCGCCACCTGGGCGGCGCGTGCTGCTCGCGACCGCCCTGCCGGCATTTCCCCTTCCAGTCGTCCGTCAGGGCTCTCTCGCCACCTTGGCGGCGCGGGCTGCTCGCCCCCGCCTGATGGCACCCGCGACTTCTCTCTGCTGCTCGTCAGTTATCTGGCCTTTCTCGCCACCTTGGCGGCGCGGGCTGCCGGTCCCCGCCTGATGGCAACCACTGCACCTTCTCGGTGCTGGCGCTTTGGATCTGGTGTGATGCGCTTGCATGCTGGGGACCTCCCTCGCAGTGGTGACCTCGCTGTCTTACGTTCTGCGGTCCGACGGCTCGTCGTGGATTCGCTGCTCGTTTCGCTGGAGGTCTTCTACGCGGTCGCGGAGGTGCCTTCGAATTACACCGTTTTGGTGCTGCAGTTCGCCCTGAAGTTCTTCCAGGTGTGCGCTGTCTTGTGAGCGGCAGCGAGGTCCGCCTCCCGTTTGCCTCCCCCCGCTTGGTCTTCTCTCTTCTGCGTTCGTTATCTTCCTCTGTTCGCCTCCCTCTTCCTGTGCGCGAGTTTAGGCCGGTGCATCTGCGCGTCGTACTTTTCCGCCGGCGCCCCTGCTTCGCCGCGGTCGCGATCAAAACGTACCCCCGCCCGTTCATCCGGAAACACTTGCCAGGCGAGCTGCCTTGATCATGGAAGCATAGTAGCGTGCAGCGGGACAGCCGCCTTGGAAACGCGCCGGGGGCGCAGAAACGGCTGGAACGCGCGTTGGATCACTGAGCGCATGTTCCCCCTACCACGGCGGCTTTCTGAGGGTCCTCCGGGAGCACTGGCGCGTTAGCCCGCGGGCGCCATCGAGGCAGGCGCCAGTCGACATCGGCATGGGCGTTCCGGAAACGAACTGAGGCACGGAAGGAAGCGGGCGGGGGAACGGCGGCGAGCGGGGGGGGACGTGAGAAGGAAGAGGCCTTCTCAGAAGGCGGCGGGGCTTCTCAGAAGGCTCCCGGGCTCCTGAGAGGTCTGCTGCGTCTGCGGGGGGGGGGTCCAGAAGACTGCTCAGGAGGCCCGAGGTCTTCCGAGCCTTCTGAGGAGGCCTTCTTCTTCTCACTTGCCCCTGGGGTCGCCGCCGAGTTTTGACGGTTCCGAGGCCTGGCACCCCGGCCTTGGACACCACAAAGGACGCGGGACACCTGGGTGCCATGACTCGTGGCCGCGACGCCCGGACGCTTGGGCCCCTCGAGAAAGCGGGGAGCTTTTTGCTTCTTCCGCACGCGCGCGAAGTGTTTCTGACCGCGGCTCTTCCTCTTCCGCCGCTTCCTCTCCCTCTTCCGCCTTTCCACGCGCGTGCGGACATGGAGCAAGAGGCTTCCCCCCTCCTCGAGGGGCCCAGGCCTCCGTGCGTCGCGGCCGCGACCGTCACGGCGGCCGGCTGTCGCAGGTTTTTCAGCGTCCAGGGGCGGGGTGCGGGGCCTCGGGGCCGTCGAAGCTCGGTGGCGACCCCGGGGGGCGGAGGAGGGGGAGGCGGAGGAGGAGGAGGAGGAGGAGGAGGAGGAGGAGGAGGAGGAGGAGGAGGAGGAGGAGGAGGAGGAGGAGGAGGAGGAAGGGGAGGAAGTGGAGGAGGAGGAGGAGGAGGAAAAGAGGGAGGAAAAGGGGCGGGGCTTCTCGGAAGGCTCGGAAGGTCCCATGCCGTCTGAGAAGTTTTCGAAGCCTCCTCCTTCTCACTTTTCCCCTCGCTCGCCGCCGAGAGCAAGCATAGAGGTGCGGCGGAAAAGCGGGTGGTGTGGAGGACTCTGGGATGAGGGCGCGCCGTGAACAGTCATTACGTCGGAGGAGGTCCAGGGAGGATCAGATACGGGCGAATGGGTATTTTGCAAGGGGGTCTCAAGAAATCGCTGGTCCGTGAGAGGCCCCCGGCATGAGCCTCAGGATGAACTATTGCATATTTTCTGCGACCCCATTGCGCAAGACCCCGCTTGCACGGAACCAAGAGGAGCTGGGGGAGGAGACGGAGGAGGAGGAGGAGGAGGAGGAGCGTTTCCCAATGGAGCGGCGCCGAAAACAGGTTCGTCTTCGCCGACAAAGGTGCATACGCTGCCCGCGTAAGGTCGCGCGTACGCGCCCTCGTTTCCAGTGTAGCGTGCCGCGCTGGCGGCCCGCGTAAGCCACCGCGTCAGGTCGCCATGCCAGCTCGCGTAAGACCCGTTTCTTTTCTCGTCGTTGAGTTCAGGTTATCAGCAGACCATGTACGAAACAGTTCCGCAAACAAGACGCGGTTGATTTGGGCCAGAAGGTCAAAAGAATATGCACGATATGGACATGTTTACCCAACTGCTCCTGCAATTGTTTCGGGCCTCCGCGGCGGCCCTCTCCGCTACAGCTGGCTTCTCTTCGACGCTCTGGCTGCCACGCACTCCAGGATATGTCTGAGAGGTGGCTTTGAGGAGGGGGAGGAGAAGGAGGAGGAGGAGGAGCGCGACCGAGGAGGAATGAGAATTGCCGAACGATCCTCCGTTTTTAACACTGTAAAAGGCTAGCTCGCCGAATTAGTGTATTTGTCGTTAGGGTCTGGACGCTTCGCCGGCGACCCCCCGACCACCTATGATCCTGAATTTGGAATCCGCAGCCGTCACGCGGATGAAGGGTAGCACCTGATCAGAGTGCGGTTCTCGCATCAGCGCCGCATTCATTCGTCTTGCATTCTTATGACAGCTGCTTTGATGGAAGTTGTACGCGTTCAAGATGTTCAGGATGTGGCCTTCGTCTCGGCCCCGCACACGTCCGTCACACAAGCTTACAATCGTTGCGCTGCAAAGTGCGGCCTGCTGTCAAAACGCAGCCCCAAGTCGGAACCAGGACATCGGAAACGTCGCCCCAGAAGGCACAAGGACGCACCTAGATGGCCAGCACGGATCACCACTCGGACTGTGGCGCTTCTCCTTTAATTTTCCCGCCCCCCTTTCCCCCCGAAGACAAGCAGCAACAAAAGACAAGGACGCACCCAGATGGCCCGAGGATGTCCCTGATGCGCTCCCAGAAGGGGGCACGGCGCGGCTCTAGAACATGCCACTATAAGGAGCAGGACTTGCAGGCATCTCCCTGCGCCGTGCGCACGATGCCTGCTTGCACCAGCGCTTGGCGCATGTGGTTGTTGTCACGATTTGAGCCCACTTCTTTATTGCTTGGGGCATGACGGGCGTCATGGCCCCCGCTCCCCCCCTATTACTATGACGTAACGCCCCCCCCCCGTCCGCTCCGGGCACGGGCGCTGCCGCCGTGCGCATAGGGATTCGCGTAGGTGTCCGCGTACGTGTCCGCATAAGATCTTGTCCGCAGTCGTCGTCGTCGTCGCTCGTGGCTCGTCGCTCGTCGCTCATCGTCGTCGTGCGCGCGGACGCGGATGGAGACTGTTTTTGATTCCGGCCAGACGACGGCAATCATCAGGGGGGGGGTGGAGGGGGTCAATGACGTTACGTTTCGCGCCGGCGGCGTCTGGGAATGCCCAGGAATGGCGAAGGACGGGTAACACCAGCATGTAGGTGGCGATCTGCACCACAACGCCTGTGTACACCACAGTGCCTGCGTGCACCACAGCGCCTGTGTACACCACACCGCGTATGTACACCACAGCAACCGCGTGCAACACAGCGTCAGTTTGTGCCACCGTGCCCGCGGGCACAACAGCTCTTGTGTACACAGCGCCTGCGTACACCACATCAGCCGTGCGCAACACAGCACCAGTGTACACATTGCCTGCGTGCATTGCAGTGCCCGTGCACACCACGGCGCCTGTGTGCACCGCAGCAACCGTGTGCAACACAGCACCATTGCTGCATATAGAATGTTAGAAGGAATATGTATGACAACATGGAGCGCTTGTGGATTCCACGGAAAAAAAACGTATGGAAAAAGGAGCGCCGCTGGAATCTACGAGTCCTCCCGAGTCCGCCCGCGCCACCCTAACTCTTCCCATGTGCGTCCAGGAGGCTCCAGCTAAATTTGGCCGTCCGAGAACCGAATGGACCGATTCAATAGACATTCGCGGTGCACGCTGAGATGCGCACGTGCGCTGCAGTTCCAACCCGCACGACAGGGGGTAAGGAGGAGGAGGAAGAGGAAGATGAGGAGGAGGAGGAGGAGCAAAAGGAGGAGTAGGTGGAGGTGGAGGTGGAGGAAGAGGGAGGAGGGAAGAACGTCGCATTCGATGATCAGCACTTTCCTGGCGTGGCGTTTAGTTGTCCGCAGCAGATACTCGCATACATGCTCCTTCTCCTTTCCTATGCACGCTGCGTAGCGTGCACAGGCGCTGCGGTGCACGCAAGGATTGTGTGGTGTACACAGGTGCTGTGTTGCACGTGGTTGCTGCGGTGTACACATGTACGCCGGCGCTGTAGTGTACGCAAGCACTGTGGTGTACACAGGTGCTGCGTTGCACACGGTTGTTGTGGTGTACGCAGGCGTTGTGGTGTACACGCGCGTTGTGGTGCACGCGAGCATTGTGGTGTGGTGTACACAGGCGCAGTGAGGCAGATCGCCACCTACATGAAGCTCGCGTCTTCGTCGTCGTCGTCGTCGTCGTCGCTCGTCGCTCGTCGTGTCGTGCGCGCGGGCGCGGCTGTGGTGCCGGAGCCACACGGCGGGGGGGGGCTTTACGTCATACCCCCCCATTGCCCCCCCCCCCCCCCATGACGCCCGTCATCACATCACCGAACATAAAGAAACGCGCTTTTTTGAACCTCGGCACGCACGCGCAGACTTCCATTTGGAGGTCTAGAGGTTGACACCAACACCAACATCGGCGGGGTGCCTTCACCGAGGGGAGATGTTCCCGATCTCGGCGATGGTGGTAATTTTCGGGCTTGCTAAGTAGCCGAATAATTACCGCCGACACCAAAATGCCCTGCCAGCCTCTCCAGCCGTCTCGCGCCTCGGCGCGTTCTCGCTCCTTCGTGCCTTGCTGTGCCTCGTCACGCCCCGCCGCTGCGCGACGGTCGTCTGGCCTTCTTGCGGCCGGGGACCAACAAACGTAATTGCTGTCACGTGCGCTCCTGCGTATGCGTGCAAAAATGGCAGTGTCGCAATGGCCGTGTTCCCTTAGCTCCGTCATGGTATCATCGTCCTGTATTGTTTGTCGCGTGTAAACGTCAAGCCGCTGCGTTCTTCATGATATTCCTCGCGGTTGCGTTCGTGACTTGCCGCCATGCGAATCTGCCGGTCGTCGTTATGCCAGCAGCGTTGGTGATGTTTGCCCAGTCTAGTCATGATTGTGAGCCCCATCCACTGGAAAGCATGCCGTTGCAAAGAATAATGGTCAGCGGGGTTCCGCGCTACTTGCGAGAATCCATGAATACATGATCATACCTTTGCTGACTGGCAAGCCAGATGTCCTAAACTCTTGCGCTAATGGGTTCTATCCTTGTGTTCTGGTATGTGGTGCGCCCAGGAGTGCCACCTTGTAGCTCAAATTTGGCATGGAGGGTGGAGGGATTTTCCTCGTTTGTTTCGTGCCCCCGCTGGACAGAGGTAGAAGTACGCATGAGCAGCGAATCAACTGTGAGGGGTTTAGCTCCATGTGCCGAGGGACCTTCGAGGATGCAGTCGGAACCATTGCCGCAAGGGGGCTGGCTCAAGGGTAAGTGTTTTGTAGCCATGGCACAGTGCAAAAGATGGTTGCAGTGTTTCGCTGCTGCTGCTTTATGGTTGACACTGGGCGGCTGGATTTATTATCATTATTTCGATAGCCTGCAGGCGTGGAATTGGTGGGCTGTCGACCGTCTCGCAAAGAAACTGAAGCTGAGGCGGTTCACGTACTCTTGGCCAGATGCGTGCTCCGACAAGCAGAGCATAGATGCGCGCAGCAGCAACACAACCGGCTTGAAGGCGTGGGTGCCAAGCGAAGTAGAGTCGATGGGCGAGCGCAGATGGGCAGCAGTCGGATAGTTCGGGACGCAAATGGAGGCGATTCCTTGCACATTGTCTCAGTTCGTTCAACAAAACCATGTCCAGCTGTTTGCGACAAACCCGGCCACCGTGCCAGCGCAGCAGCACAACATTAACGAGGTTGAGCTTAAGGCTCGGTCGAGTTCCGACCCTCTTTTAGTTGGCGCGCATCTTGTACACCCCTCTCCTGACCGCAGGCTCTTTCGAGTTGTCTGTCCTCATCCCTCGTCCTTTTTCTCCTGCTCCTCCTCCCTCATGCATCATGAAGGCATCTTGGATGGGTCCTGGAGACTTGAGAGGGCTCTCTGGGGGGTCCCTCGCGGGCCTGCTGTAGGCCCATTGAAGGTCCGCCGGGGGGATTGGGGCCGTCTTGGGCGCGAGTGCCCCCGAAGAAGCTCGATGAACCATCTGCGGGGCGGTTGGGTGGGCCTGGGGGCCGCCTTCGAGCTCTCTTCGGCCGTCTTGGGAGGTTCTCGAGTCGTCTTGGGGGGTTCTCGGGCCGTCTTTCTCGCGGTCGCCTTATTTGTTCACGCACGGTTTGCTGTACGATGGTCGGCACTTGTCGTATGTTCGGGTGCAGATGGGATAAGAGCAGTGGCGACGGGAGAGGCGCAGGTTGAGCAGCGTGCTCGTGAGGTGTTGGTTGCGGAGCGTCCCAGGGTACGGGGGGGGGGGCAGCAGGCATGACCCATACTGGCCGGATGGCCGTGGGTGACATTTGTTCGCGAGTTAGGATGAACGACCGTGCGTAACAAATCTGGCAGGAGAAGGCAACGCATTGGCCGCGAACCCCGGCCTCGGTGGGGGGGGGTAGAATCAAAATCGTGCTTGGAGAAATCCATTGGGGTGCGCTCTTTGCTGTGCAATCCACTTGTGGGAATTGCAGTCGTCAACTCCAACGCGCGTGCAAACATCTTACCATCCCACCCTCAACTTGTTGGCAAAGCTCATTTTGCCACGATCTCCACGAGCGCAGGGGCGCGTGGAATTACATTGCGCAGACAAGTCCGCACTGCAGGTCGCGAAATGGTTGGCGATAGTGACGACCGCGACGCCAACGAAGATGGAGATGACAGTGGTGATGACGCCGATAGCGATGGCAATGACAGCGGAGATGGGGACCGTACGATACCGACGGCGACGATGGTGATAATGATGAAATGTGTGGTGGTGATACTGACGGTGGCAACAATGACGCAGACGATGATGACGATGTTGCTGGAAATGATGATAGATGATTTAGGAGGGCGACGACATCGACGATGACGACGATCACGACGACGGCGATGATCCGGACGATGGTGATGATGGTGACGATGATGGCAATGATGACGCCGACGATTATGATAATGAGTGTGCGGATGAGGATATTGAGAAAGTGTGCGCGCTCAGGAACTCTAACGCAATGACATTTCTTATTCCCTACCTAGGCTCTGCCTAGAAGGGTTCTTACTCGCTATGCTTAAAGGGCCGGGCAGTGGGCCACGCCCCAGGCGGTTCCCCCGTCATCCGCCCCGCGGTTCCCCCAGTTGCGCCCCTTGGGTTCACCCAGCTTGGCTTAGCTCGGGGGTGGACAGACCTCCTAACAGTGACACGTCGATTAGTGAATTGTCCGTTTCCGGTTCTCGAGAGGGCGCCGCGGCCGCTATTTCCCAGGCTTGCGCCCGCCAGGTTTGGGCCTCAGGTCGTTCTCACTAAACCACGTTTTACTAAAGGGGGGTCTGTCCATCCCCGATTAGCAAAGCTTAGCTTAGCTTAGCTTATCTCATGTTAGCTTAGCTGAGCTTAGCTTAGCTTTGCCTAGCCTAGCCTAGCTTAATTTAGCTTTGCTTAGCTTAACTTAGCCTAGCTTAGCTTAGCTTGGCTTAGCTGATCTCATCTTAGCTTAACTTAGCTTAGCTTAACCTAGCTTTGCCTAGCCTAACTTAGCTTCGCTTAGCTTCGCTTAGCTTCGCTTAGCTTAGCTTATCTCATCTCAGCATAGCTTAGCTTAGCTTGGCTTAGCTTGGCTTGGCTTAGTTTGGCTTGGTTTAGCTTAGCTTAGTTTAGCCAAGCCTAGATTAGCTTAGCTTAGCTTACCTTACCTTAGCTTAGCTTAGCGCATCGCAGCATAGCGCATCGCAGCATTAGCACAGCATAGCATAGCATAGCATAGCATAGCATAATATATCATATCATAGTTTAGCATAGCATCGCATAGCATAGCATAGCGCAGCATATCATAGCATAGCACAGCGCAGCATAGCATAGCATAGCACAACATAGCATGGCATAACATAGCATAGCATAGCGCAGCATAGCATAGCATAACATAGCATAGCATAACATAGCACATCATAGCGCAGCATAGTCTAGGATAGCATAGCATAGCGCAGCATAGCATAGCATAGCATAGCGCAACATAGCATAGCATAGCATAGCATAGTGCAGCATAGCGTTACATAGCATAGCCTTGCATAACACATCGCAGCCGAGCGCACCCTAGCATAGCATAGCATCGCATAGCTCAGCATAGCAAAGCATAGCAAAGCATATCATAGCACAGCATAGCATAGCATATCATAGCGCAGCATATCATAGCATAGCATAGCATAGCATAGCAGCAAAACAAAGGCAACTCAACATCAGCAACAGCAAAGCAAAGCACAAGCAGCGCAACGCATAGCATAGCATAGCTTAGCATCGGTGTAGATGCAGATGTTGCTTGTCTAGCATAGCATAGCATAGCCTAGCATAGCAGGCACATAGCGCAGCATAGCATAGCATAGCTTAGCATCGGTGTAAATGTAGATGTTGCTTTCCTAACTGCTCCAACTCCTAGGTGGGGTCCCACTGGGATAATTTGAAAACCGTTGGATGCTCGTGTGTATGTCTGTGCGTGTTCGAACACATCTGAGTCAAAACCGTATTCTGAAAGGAGTTCGACGTGCTCGCTCGGAGACCCGCGCGTACGGTCAAGGCGTAATGACTTGGAATAGTTGGTGGGCGATTGACGACGGTTGAGCGTTTTCGACATGCGCACGCGAGTGGCCCGCATGATTTTATTTGGGGCGTTCCACAAAGGGCCTTGCCTTGGCGGATCGAAGGAATTGTAATTTCTCCATCCGCGGAAGACGGCGGAAGGGCGGCGGAAGATCGGCCGATGTAAAACGAAGCCGCCTCCACCGGCGGAAGCCGGCGGAAGCTCGGCGGAAGCTCGGCGGAAGGTGGCGGAAGTACAACATGCGCCCCCAAGAGATGAACACATTTTAGGGTTCAGCGTTTCCGGAATCCGCCATTTGACAGAACGATTGAAACTTAAGTTGTTTTGATGATGCTCATGGGTGCGCGCGCAGAAGTCTGGCGACCGTGTGTTGGAAGACCATTGGGTCCTGACAGTTGCCGAATACAGCGGGAGTTTTCGTTCAGGAATGTGCCCAGAGGGGTGAGGGCCCTGGAGGATTCCTTATTTGATGAGGGCGGTGGTGATATCCATGGCCCATCCACGATTGGAATTCCGCCTGCTACCGGACTCTGGGTTCCTTATCTAACGGTTCCTTGTCCCACGCTCCCACCGTACCCATGTCTTGAACATACTTTCACGAGGGAAAGAAAAGAGTGGCTTCGACGGGCGCGCGCGGCGAAGCGTGCATGTGCCACGCATTGCATCTTCTGCAGGGGGTTCTTGGGTCAAACACCCGGCGGTGAGCGGGGATGAAAGTGACATTGAGAAGGCCTTTTCGCAAGGTGGCGGGGCTTCTCAGAAGCCCTCTGGCCTCTGAAAAGCTTTCTGCGTCTTCAAGAAAGGCTCACAAAACTGCTCAGAAGGCTGGGGGACTTCCGAGCCTTCTGAGAAAGCCCGCTCCTTCTCACTTCCCTCCTGGGCTAGCCACCGAAACTCTTCTTCGACTAACGCATGTGTGCCGCATCGTACTCTTTGCAGGGGAAGGCGCGGGGTGTCGATACCGGTATTGCCAGGATGATATTACGAACGATCGTGCATACCGCAGAGGGGTGCCGATAACCCGTGCTCCAGCGGGTGGTCGAGTCGATGTTTCTTGGAGAAGGAACGCTATGCGATGCAAGCTACGTGGTGTAATTCACATGATGCAATCGATGTGTAGAAAGCTATATGGTGCACCGCATGAGAAACAGTCTACGTGGTGCAAGCGAAGCACCGACCAGGGCATGAGGCGCCGATGAGGTGCCCACGGGCGCCCACCAGTGTTTCGGGGAATCTGCCAGCAACGTCGGATAATCCCCTTTCATCGGTCCTCGAGGGTCGAGGGCAAAGCTGCTGGACGCGGGTGTTGTTTTCTAGGCGCCAAGGCCAGGTGCACTCCCAAGCTCTGTCGGGGCGCCCGGTACACGAAGAGGAGGGCCAGGGAGGAGAAGGGAGCTCACGGACATCCATGTGCAAGCACGTTGAGCGTGGGCGCGAGCAGCACGGCTGGCCGACGTTCTGTCTGGCCGGTCTGCAGGCGTCTCTGGAGGCGCTCTCTCTCTCTTTCCTCCCCGGGGTCGGACCCCGCACAAGCGCGTTGCCAGGAGGGGCCCTTTGGGAGGGGGACCCCAGGCTCGATTTTGAATGGAACCGGGGATGTGGTGGTCGGCGTTTTGGGAGCGCGCGCCGACGTTCGAGCAGCAGATCGACTACAGACTTCCTTCAGCGAAGAGTCAATGTTTCGCCGCGAATGTTCGCAGATCCACGCGGATTCCCATGCTTGTTTTGTAGATGTCGCCCAGAGTAACTAGTCGATCCCCTCCCCGAGATGTGAGCCAGACTGGGGAGCCCCTGGAGGGGCCCTAGACTCTCGGGTGCCCCGCCGTTGCCCCGAAGGCCGCCAGGGCGCGGCGTCGCGCGCGGGCGCGCCGAAATGGAAGGCGCGAGGGAGGTCGGCGCAGTCGCGCCCCTCGGGGGCCACGTTCCCGGACCCCCCCTCGAGGCATGACAAAAACTA